ATCTATCTCTGTGTCTCTGAAGTCTGAACCCAAGACCCCATAATCACCCCAAGAATTCTAGCTCTCTCTCTCTCGACTGTACATGGTCCATTGTTTCTCTTTCTACAAGGCTTGTGAGATAGGACTACAGAGGAGTTGGTGCTTATTGAAAGCTTATACAGAAGATATTTCAAAATGATCGTTGTGCTTATTGGGTTATGCATTTTCTATTCTTTTATGGGTCACTTAGTAAATGCATCAGGTGCTCGTGGATGTTTTTTATTTTTGAATGACATTTTATAGGTTCAGATAATTTCGCAAGTTCTAAAGTGAGATTGAGAGAATGGGGATCAAAACACATTGGCTTCTAGAGAGAGATGAAGCTCAATATGGTATTTCTATCTTTAATTAATTTGTAATTTAGAATAAAATACAATATATGGTATTTGAGGATTGATCACTTACAATTTAGGTGGGCACGGACTTGACCCTAGCCTAAACCGAGTTACTCGTGCGAGTCCGAGTGGACTTTGCCCGAGTCAAGTAGAATCAAGTGTCCGGAAAAAAAGAAGGGCACAGACTTAGTCCTAGCCCAAGCCGAGTTACTCCTGCAAGTCTGAGTGGACTTCCTGCGAGTCTGAGTGGACTTGCTCGAGTCAAGCCGAAATCCACCATAGTATCGGAAAAAAAAAATATTGGGTGGAATCCTGGAAAATTAGAAATTGTGATTCAATGAACTTTTTGGTTTATTAAAATATCTACGACAACAAAAATTCTTTTTTCCTTTCCTTTTGTGGATGAAGAGGCTTATTAATGGATCAAGAACACAAAGATGGTCGTATGCTTTGAATTTTATGAAGCCGACAACATGAATTACAAAAACTAAAGTTTTCAAAAATCGAACAAAAACCGCCAATTTTGTTTTTGATGTAGGAAGAAAGGACCTCGAATTTAGGATCAAATGGCATATACTTGAGCTTTGGGGGGTAAATTTTTGGTAAAAAATGGGGGGTGGATAAATATTTCAGGAAATGAACATCTAGTATTCTTCTTACTCGCCTGACCATCGTAGAACTCAAGTCAGGATGCATGAGTGATATAGTACTCTAACGAGTATGACCAATACTTGCCTGAGTACCTTTCACCTTCTCATGTACCTGAGGGGGTACATAGGAACTCGCTTTAGCTGAGGCCGAGTAACTTGGATGAGCCAGGTCAATACGATGGAGTTTCTGGACACTAATTTAGATAAGCCAATCAAATATACCAAAATAACAAAATGCCACTTCTTCAAATTACAATTGAAAAAAAGGGAAAGTATTTCAATATCTTATTTTTTAAGTTTCCTATCTCCATAGACCCAAATTTTAAAAATATGTTAAAAATCTTAAGTTTTAAATCTTCTAACCCTTTAAATTAATTTTATCCATTTTAAATCTATTTTTTAATCCAAACAAATTATAGAATGACAATCCTTTCTAAATCCATCTTCTCTCTCTTTACATGCATCCCTCAAACTTCTCTATCTTTTACTCTCTCCCCAGTGTGACTCTTCCCAAACCCTCTCTCTATACTCTCTCTCTCTAATAAATAGGTGCGTGACCTCCACCTCCTCCTTTCTCTCTCTTCTTAAACAGGTGTAATTGTCTAAAAATATTCATAGAGCCAACATTGCTATTATATCTCTCAAAAAAAATAAAATTGCATAAACTCACGGTACCACCATTCCGATCGATCTCCTCTCTAAAACAAAGTGCATAAAATCATTGTACCACCATTGTCATTAATTTCTCTCATTGATCTCCCTCTCTAAAAAAAAAAACAAGTGCATAAAATCATGTACCACCATTGCCATTAATATCTCCCTCTTAAACATAGATATAAATATAGACAAACCCTAACCCAAAGGAACAAAAAATTGAAATCTCAATCTCTAGCAACATGGGAGCCCAACACCAGCTCTTCTTGGGATAATATGGAAAGAGAGAGGGGTAGTACGGAGAGAGAGAAGGGGTTTGAATAGAGTCAAGGGGAGAGAGAAAGAGGAAGAAGTAGGGGGAATGACATGCGAAGAGAGAGAAAGGATGTGCTTAGAAAGAGTTATCATTATATAACTTGTTTGGGTTAGAAAAATAGGATTAAAGTGACTAAAATTAGTCTTAGAGGATTAGAATATATAAGACCTGGCATCTTTATGGCCCAATATATGTTTTTAAACCTTGGGTATATAGAGATATGAAATTTAAAAATACGGGATATAGAGATATTTTTTTCAAAAAAATACAATTTGGAAACCAAATAGGAAAATTTCAAATTTAAATATCAAATAGTGCCTTAATGTTCTTCACGGTTTAAAAAACTAGCAAGTCAGTTAAACCAATTTTGCCTGGATTGTGGGAAGTTTTCTTTAAGTAAATAAAAGTGGTAAGTCAGTGGGGATTTGGGCCCCTTACCAATGAAGTTAGAGACCTTACCATGGAGCTCGGCAATACTACCGCCAAGGTCCTAGGCCATTCTCACTTTAAAGAGTTGCCCAATGAAATCCATTCATGCTTAAAGAAAAAAAAGAAAAAACCTCAAAAAAAGGGTTTTGAGTCCCCCACGTTTTTTTTTTTTTTCTTCATTTGTGTTTTTCGGATCAATAATTGTTCCAACGCTATTTAACCTCCAAAATTAATCATTGAACACCGAATTTTCTATGTAAACTAGTTGATTTTGATCGATTTAAGATTTTGACGAAGGGTTTCCGATAAGAAACTCATATTTCGTCAACCCTAAATATGCAATCCATCATTCCTTCAATTTTTCTCTCATTGTTAACAAAAGAACCTGAAACTTGTTTCAAATTAATTGTATTTAGGAAAAAGTCATAAGGTGTCAATCTTACACTTTAAACCTGAAACTTGTTTCCAATTAATTGTATTTAGGAAAAAGTCATAAGGTGTCAATCTTACACTTTACAAGTAAGGTTCACTCAAAAAATCCACTCGAGAAGGTTATTCCTATACTGTAAAACCCTCAAATCGATCATCTCGACCTTAAGATTCATAGATATAGAAAAAAACAAAAGAAGAGAATTTTTAGTCTTAAAAAAAGTTTATCTTCTAACACATTATCTGGACGGTTTATTTTCAAGATTTTCAACTATTCATAAATCTGCTTTATTGCCACTATTTCTGAAACTTTAAATTTCATAATTTACATGCCTAAATTGTATTTTCGGCACAGCTTTGAAGTGCACCTTACTTCAATAGTAAAAGGTGGACACCTTATACAAACCACACCCTTGTATTTAAGCCCTCCATGAAGACTCCACTTCCATTTGGATGGAAAACTAAATAAGAGAGTTCTAATTCCCACATTTTGGGGTTTTTTAAATTCAAAATCGAAAATCTTCAATTTCTTTCCCATTCTTTCACCAAATTGATTCAAATTTGTCCCAAAATGTTATATCATATTGATCCACAAAGACCTTACCAAATGTGGAAGAGAGAGAGAGAGAGCATGGAGATGGTAGAAGTAATGTTAGAAACAAAAAATCTCAAGTTTTAAAGAAAAAAAAAAAATTCTAGAAATTGATAAAGAGAGAATTTTAGGATGTCGTAGACAAGCGCACATGTTGTTGTGCGTCTCTTACAATCTATCATTTATATGGGTGGTGAAGATTGCCCCGAGAGGGCAAAACTATGCAAGGAGTGAGGGTCTGGTTTCTATAAGGTTGCAACCTTAACATGTAATTTTATCATAACATGTAAATTTGGGGAAAACATTTTTAAGATTATCTCAAAATTTATTTCCATATCTAATTATAAAATTTGAAACTCAAAAAATGGTTAAAATCAAGTAGATTTATAAACATATGAAAATCTTGAAAAGAGACGGTTTAAATAATGTATTGCAATATGCACTAAATCTTTTTTTTCTTTCATGTTTGTACATCTTGATGTCGAGATGATCAATTAGAGGTTTTTTCAACATTAAAACAACATTTTTCAATGGATTTTTTAGGCGCATCCATATTTATGTATTTTATGGTTGCAACCTTATATAATTTTTATTTTAAAGCGAAAAAAGTGCAACTATGTTCCCTACAATCTAAAAACAGGGTTTGGTGGTCCGGATCTTCCCTTGGGAAAATTGGTCAAGAATAGCAGATCGACAATTCAGATAGGCGATCTGGCTAGTGAACTAGCTTATATAAGGTTGCAACCTTAAAATGTAGAATTAAAGATCCACCTCAAAAATCTATTGGAAAAAGTTGTTTTAATGTTGAAAAACCCTCTAATTGATCATCTGAACGAGATGTATGGATATGTTAAAAAAAACGATTTTGAGTCATAGAAATAATGCATTTTGCAACACATTATATAGACAATCCATTTTCAATATTTTCATATGCTTATAGATTATTAGATTTTAACTATTTTTTGAGTTTAAAATTTTATAATTAGATATGAAAATAGATTTTCAGATTATCCTAAAAAAATTTACACCAAAATTATATGTTATTATAAATTTTGGAGGTGCACTTTAAATGGATTGATTAAGATTGCAACCTTATAGAAACACAACACTTTAAAAAAATTATGGAACCAAAAAAATTGAAAAATATTTAGAAATAAAGCGTGACCGGTTTTGTAGGGCATTTCAGCAAAATTGGACTGCCCCCGACAATTCCTCATACGAGCTTGATCCAGTCGGGTTCCCCAATTTTTAAAACCTCGATGCTGTCTTGTTTGGCAAGCTCTTTAATGTGATTTTTTTTACTTTAATGTTTTTGGCTCCCAATTTTATACCGAAAAAGGAAACTTTTTGGTCTTTTTCTATGAAAGCACTACCTTTTTTAAAACACGGTTTAGTGATCCAGATTGCGCCTTGGAAAAACTGGTCCAGAATGATCGTCTGGATAGGCAATCTGCCCAGTGGAATGGCAATTAATTTTTTTAAAAAAATTAGGGAATAAAAGGTTTGAAAAATATTTAAAAATAAAGTGTGATAAGTTCTACGATAGAATCGTCCAACTCCCCATATTTATACATAACCGAGCCAGCCCGATGAATTCCCAATAGGAGTCGGTTGAGAAGTTAGCTGATTTTTAATAATAAAGCTCTCTTTTTAATCTATCTTTAGCTTTCTGGGTCAGTTCATACTTTTTCAGCTTAATTCATTTAGTCGTATAAACTTCCCACAAAAACTGCAAGCTGGATTTTGCCGGCAATGACTTCGCAACCCCTAAAACAATAGCAAATAAATCACCCATAGATTCTAAACCATAATCAGAATAAAATGATATCCACCAAGCCCTAAAAGCTCACTAAGGCCATTTTTTGATAGATGATTTCTAATGGGAATGTATAATACCCCTTATTTTAATTTATAATTCCCCTTATTTTAATTTTTAGACATCTCTGATTCTCTCTCTACACCGGTGACTCAGCTTCTCTCTTCTCTTACACCCTCCTCAGTCAATGATATTGTACTTCAAATACTCTTCCTTTCTCCCCAAGCCACGCTCTCCATCTCTCTCTCTCTCTCTCTCTCTAAACTCCAACGTCTGAGCAGCTCTTAATCCCCTTCCTGCTTTCTCTCTCGTCTGCCCTGCGCTCTCCATTGACCCCTCTTGATCTCTCTCTCTACCGATAAGAAAAAGAACACTCTTTTTCTCTCTCTAACACCGCCAGTCCAGTTTTGGTTGGTGTGGAGATGGTTCTCCCGCTGGTGAAACTTGGAGCTCTTGCCTTAAAGACTTTCTGCAAACCCATCGCATCCAGGCTGAAGAAGGAGGCCGGCTTGCATCCTCGATTCCGCCAACTCATCATCAACTTCGCTCAGGTCTCTTCATCATTTTCTTTTACGGTCCATTTTCTCCCTTTTGCTGTCTTTTAAGCAGTGTTTAAGCTAGTCATAGAGAGCAATCCATCACTTTTGATCCTTTGTTGCTTCGAATTAATTGGCTCTGTTTGTTGTGGGCATTTATTAGGCTGATCATGGAGAGTGATTCATTTGCAATTGGGTTCTTCAAATGTCATAGGAATTCGTGTAGAAGTTTGCATCCTTCTGTCTCAAATTTCTTGCATTTTGCATTTGTCTTGAATCTTGATCCTCATGACCTTAAAACCTGGATATTGAGATGTTGATAGAATTGCCTGACGGATTTTGTAATCTGTTTATAATCCATCATCTTTTTCTTGCTTTTGATTATGATGGTAAAAAGCGTGATTGTTCATCTGTGTTTGCTATCTAAACAAAATTGCTTGGGAATTTTCGGAGTTTTTGACGTACTATCTGATGATGCTCCCGAAATTGTTGGCATATAACTAATGCCGTTACCCTTTGAATGATTGCCTTGTGTCAACTTGCAAGATTTTGTTCAGAAACTGATCTCTCTCTCTGTCTTTTTCCTTTTTTTTGATGTGAGAATGTGTGTATCCATGGTTTTGGGGAATGTTTCTGTTGTGAGTAGTTTGTCAACGTTTCTTTAAAAGCAAGATAGGATCGAACATATCTGTTAACTAGTTAGAAAATTGTTTTTGTGAAGTTTAAAAGCTTTCGGATGGTTATTATTATTTTTTCATCATTTAATCAAACATCTAAGTCACTGCTTTTGTGCCAATCCTTATGAAGGCTTCTAACAAGTAACAACTTGCCTCTAAAATGGTTGGCATCCACATTTTCTAGCTCCTCTGTGTTTGAAATTTTACTTTCAGAATTGTTTCATCCTTATAAGCTGGAATTACACCATGAAGAAAGCAGATTTCTTTGATACTCTACTGAAAGAATGCTTATGTTAATTACCGTTTTATGTTCAAAATAACATATTCTCCATAGGGATCTCTGGTGCATTCTTTACCGTATAGTGACTTCAGTTTGTTGGTCCTTAGTTTTACCTGATGGTTGTTTAATGTTGGAGGGTGATAGGTAAGGATGTTGCTGTCTTGATCTACAAATTTTGTTCAAGATTTTGATTCAGTGGTTGTAAGTTAATGAAGGGTTCATGGCCTTTGCTATAGTAAACTTTCGTTGTGAGTGCTTCCTTGAAATTATAAATGAATGCAGAATACCCATTTTGAAGTAAATGGTCTGTTAGCTGAACCACCGTACAAATGACCCAGTTTTGGAGGTCTATTTGTATTAGATGTGATAACACCATAAATTAATAAACATGATTTATTCTTAGGTGCTCTGTATCCTCCACTAGCAATGTGAATCATTTCTAGAGCCGTCTATGGCATTCAAAGAGTCCCATTCCATGGTAAATTCCTAAGAAATGTCTAAACGTGAGGTGGGCTTCAGCTCAGTTATTGTCCTCCAAACCTCTTTTAAGACATCTGACCACTGTAGAGATTTATCTCTCTCTCTCTCTCTATCTCTATCTATCTACCTAGTTATTCATATATATATATATAAAAGAAGGGTGATGACCTTAAGCTTTCTCTTAACCTGTCCTATGCCCAAGTAAAGGGGCTGGGTTGTGTTAGGTAGCCAACACAAAATTTTGCCAAAATTTATCATGAATCCTGAACCTTAATAGCTGCTTATTAATAAAGCAAAATGACGGACTAGGATTTGTGTAGTCGACCCCAATTAGTTGGGAAA